GGCGAGGGGCGCAGGGAAACGGAGCGCACTGCAGGTGGGGCTCGCAGCGCGGAGTTGCCTGGGCGTGAGATCAGACGTCGAGGGTGGACATGCGGCAGCTGGGCTGTCTCACCCGTCCCCGCAGGCGCACGCTCGCCGGCTCTGCGTCTCCGGACATCCGAACGTGTTGGGGAAAGTAGCAGGCTGCGGTTAGAGCCGGGGAGAAAGGGGCTTCCTCCTGGGGGGAGGCGCTGGCCCTGCCGTCCTTTTTGGGGAGTGTTGAAAGGTTTTTGAGCGCTGGAAAAGGAATCGTAGGCTTGACGGCTTCATGATTTAGAATCACATCCTATATTTGGCCTTCTTGTAGGCTGCCCTTGTTTGGTGGTGTCTGAAGTGCTTGCTCTACATGTCGCAAACGTGGGATTCAGAGTGAGAAGCAAATTGCGAGTTGTTCATCTCCTCCAGGATAGCAAGATACAAAGGCGTTTCCTTCCTAAAAGACATTTTAAAATAATTGACTATAAATCGTGTTTATAAACTGCAACTAGTTGGTGATTATATTTACTTTTGGAAATAGTTATCGCGGAATATTGGACCCTCTCACCGCATCCTTCCTGCCTGGGAGTACATTCTAAAACAATACTTGTAGGGTTTCTGGTCGCTCTGTGTGATAATGCATTTAATTGTCCGTATCTGGCAGAGCATTCTCCTGACACCAGGGGCTGCTAGAATAGACAGAAACATGATTAAGTATAAGCAGTTGCTTTGTACCGTCTGTTCAATTGTGAAGGCAAATAGATATCTGTTTAATAATAATTTACTTCAGTCCTTGTAAAATTGAAGAAATGGGCAAAATCTATTCTGGATTTGATTCCATACAATTCAGCAGACTGATTTAAGGAAATGTTTGGATATAAAATATAATAGTAAACATTGGATCTGAGAAATTGCATAAACAAATAGACAAAAGTGAAATAAAACTGAGAATTGTGTTGTATACCTTAGGTCTTGAAGTGCAGTTTTGTGGTAGATGGTAGATATGTGTAGTGAGAATTTGAGAAAGATGGTGTAAAGGCCAGGTACACACCTTCTTAACAGATCTGGAAGGTGCTTTGTCCATGTTTTTGATTACTTGTGAAGGGTACGTGAAAGCCTGATGAATTTTAATAGATAACATCCAATGAAACATCACTGCACACAATATTGAATTTTTTATGATCCTTTATTACTTTGTCTTCAGATTGTGCTAATCAGCATTTTTGTCTGTTTATGTATAGTTTAGGATTAGATTCAGGGTCAGTGAAGAGCATTTTTTAAACACTGTTGGAATTTTTTGGTGCAAGTTTTATGTTAACGCATCTGTCACTTCTGGGATCCACTCCAGCCATGAGGAGCAGACTTACTCTGATGCCTGTGAGATGGAATGTTCAAAAGGATAAATTATCAGTTCTTAATTGTATAAGTGGGAATGTGGAAGAGTCAGTTTTTTATGATGGCAAAATGTTCATTTCAAATACTTGGATTTGTTACAGACTGGTACTTTAGAAACAGATATTCATTGGACTGTTTTACCTTTGACCTCTTTTCCAGGAGTGGGGCAATAATAAATTTGAGTGCTACTTTCATACTCATGGTACAGATCCATGAGATAAAACCTCTTAAACTTGTTTTCCATTTGATTACTTCCCACATTATCCCATCCCTGAATTATGAAAACTCTTTTCTGGCACTTGTATGTCTTTTAAACTTAAGATGCCTTTTTCTGTATTAAAACTTGGAATTCTTCATGAATATTTCAGTGTGACCTAGTACCTAGAATGTGAAGTAATAGAATCTCTCTGGATTTTCATTGCCCTAGTTCAGATCCTTCAAAATGAGTGAACAAGATTCTGTTCTCCTTTCTGAGCACTTATGTTGTATTTCAGCAGTGCATAATAGAATCTTTTTTGTTTTATCACAACTTTATTGAGATGTAATTCACATACCATACAATTTACCCACTTAAAGTTCAGTGGCTTTTAGTATTTGGTATTCAAAGAGTTGTGTAGCTTTCACCACGCTCAATTTTAGAACATTTTCATCACCCCAAAAAAGAAACTCCATACCCATTAGCAGTCCCCCCTCACCATTTCCTTTCCTCTCCAGCTCTGGGCAACCAGTTACTTATTTTTGGACATTTCATATAAATGGGATCATACAATATGTGGTCTTTTGTGTCTCGCTTCTTTTACTTAGCATATTTTCAAGGCTTATGTATGTTGTAGTATGAATGTATAGTACTTAATTGTTTTTTTATGGTTGAATAATATTCCATTGTATGGATATACCAAATTTTGTTTATCCAGTTCTCAGTTGATGAACGTTTGGGTGTTCACCCTTTTTGGCTATTGTGAATAATGCTGCGAGCATGTTTTCATTTCTTGAGTATTTACCTAGGAGTAGAATTGCTGGATCATATGGTAACTCTTTGTTTAACTGTTGGAGGTACTGCCACACTATTTTCCAAAGCAGCTGCACCATTTTACAATTTTCAGCAACAGTGTATGAAGGTTCCAGTTTCTTGGCAGCACTTGTTATTCTCTGACTTTTTGTTTCTAGGGTAAAGTGGTATGTCACTGTGGTTTTGACTTATATTTTCCTAATGGCTAATGATGTAGAGCATCTTGTCATGTGCTTAGTGGATTTGTGTATTTATTCTTTGGAGAAATGTCTATTCAAATGCTTTGCCCATTTTTTAATGGGTTATCTTTTTATTGTTGTTATAAGAGTTGTTTATATATTCTAGATAAGTATCTTATCAGATATATGATTTGCAAAAAAATTTTCTCCCAGCTGGGTGTGATGGCTCTCACCTGTAATTCCAGCATTTAGGGAGGCAGAGGTGGAGGATCAGTTGAGGCCAAGAGTTCAAGACCAGCCTGGGCAATATAGTGGGCCCTGTATCTAATAAAATAAAATGAAATTTTTTTTCTTTCATTTGGACTTGTCTTTTCATTTTCTTGGTAGTGTCTCCTTTGAAACACAGACATTTAAATTTTTAATGGTGTCCAATTTATGAGTAATAGAGTCTTACTAGTTAGAAATTATTTAGATCTTAAGTCATACCTTTGTCAGTATTTGTTATATATATTAAAAGCCAAATGTGAAAGGGTTAGGGAAAGATTTGAATTAATTTATCCTAAGATATGCCATAGACAAAAAGGTTCATCAGTGGGCATGTCATCTGCCTGTTTAAATCCTCTGGTGGCCCCACCCATTGCTTACAGAGTAGAGTTCAGACTTCTTCGTGTGACTGTGGATCAAGGCAGTCTCTGATTTCAGCCTGCTTTGTCTCTCACTGTTTCCCTTTCTGTCTTCATCTCCAGGGCTAATTCTTGACATGTCCCAGCTTTCACATCTTGTGATGGTCTTATTACTCTGCCCGCTTTCCACTTCCTGAATCCCACTTGTTCTTTGGGATCAGATCACAAGGCTTTTCCTCCATGAAAACTTCCTCATCCACACAGGCAGACATTGTCACTGCTGTCTGCTACCTGAATTTGAGCTATAGTCTGCAAAGTGCCTTCCCATTGAAAGCAGAATGCAACAGAGAAATTCACATGGAAGACAGACTGAGATTCTCTTCTTTAAATCTTGGTCACCAGTGCCTCTGGGATATTTGCTGAATGAATGATTGTGTATTGAAGTTAACTGGAAAGATAGTGTATTTTTCTGGTTATTATTAACATTTTTATCGCCTATGTTAAACTAACATGAAGAACGGGTAACTCCCCGTTGCTTTTCCAGCACCCAAGTCTAGCTCGTACCAAAAAAGTGCCCAGATATAAAACTGAGTGTTTAAAACATTTTCCCGAGGGCAGAACGTTCTTGTCCAGTTCTTTCCCCCTAATGAATAGTAATGATTGACACACAGCCTTCTCAGTGGGGAAGATGGCCAGGGAACACATTTAGTTTGGTATGATGTAGCCAAGCCAGATGCTCCCAGCCAGCCTGATGGCATGGGCCAGTCAGTACAGAACCCGCTCTACACTCATGAGAATGGTTAGAGATTCTTTTGCTCGTGCTCTCTTGCTTCTCTTGGAGCATCTGACTCATTCTAGTATTTTTTTTTTTAGTTTTATTTTGTGTTCTTATGCTCCTTTTTAGTACTTTAATTGAAAGTACTTGACTTAACAACATCTTGAGAGTTAAGAGAAACCAGCTGGCTGTCTTGGGATACATTTTCTTCTTATGTGTTCATTAAAGGTCGGATTGTGGCAAAGTAGTAAAGAGAAGAGAAAGTCAGTTTCCAGTGTCTTCTGTTTCATTAAACTCAGTGAGCTGTGGGTACCTTACATAGTTTCTTGCTCTAATAAGAGAGTTTATATTTAGGGGAATCAAGGTCATGAGGGTGCAGACCTCTAGGACCAGATTGAGCTGGGGTTCACTCTTGGCTTTACTTCTTACAAGCTGTAACTTTGCCAGTTACCTCACCTCCCTGAACCTGCTTTCCTCTTCTGTAGTGTGGAGATGCAGGGTCACTGTCAAGGCTATACAAGGAAAAGTATGTAAAGTGCCTAATACTGAGTAGGCACTGAACATATCCCCATCCCTGTGCTCTTCACTCTTCAGTGTCTGTTTTTGTTTTTTTTGGTTTGGTTTTTTTTTGAGTTGGAGTCTGACTTCGTTGCTCAGGCTGGAGTGCAGTGTCTGTTAATGAATGGAACTGCGGGGAGATACACAGAGTATGTTTAATCCATTTTACTTCTGATGTTACACTATTAAGGTAAAAATTCCCACTCCCACCTGGGAATTTTAGACTTTGAATCACAAGTTGAGTCACTGAGGAAGGAAAAAAATGTCTAATGTTAGCATGGGAAGGTGGTGTTAAAAATGAGGCAGTTTTTGCATCTGCCTGAACTGGAAATGTCTATTCAGTCAAGCTTCCCTTATTCAGGTCTGTATATTCAGTCTGTCTGTCTGCCTGCCTGTCTCTCTTTTTTTTTTAGTTGGAGTCTCACTCTGTTGCCCAGACTGGAGTCCAGTGGCCACTCCCGGCCACCGCAGCCTCGACCT